GGGGTGGGGGTCCAGAAATCTTGATCAAGACCGAAAATGGGTATTGCCTTACCTATAGGAGAAGTTTGGTTTCAATGAGATGTGAGCCATACGCCGCTGTAACATGGAAAGGAAGGGGTGACTTCACAGCAACTCCTCCAACCAGCATATTCTCATCAAAGTACCAATCCGCATTTTTCTACTTTTCAGATGGCGTCAACATCTTAGAAATGGGCAAGGGACAAACACAACATAAAAAACAACAAGAAACAAAACAAAACAAAAAACCCCCCAACCCAATCCAGCCCCTCGCGGAACTTACAGCATTGAAGTCTACTGTAATAAACTGTTTTCTAAGCGCTTTTTAAAGAGGAGTCAAAGCTATTCCGAAAAGTAGTCAAAACTTAATTAATGTGACGTCTTTGTTAACCCTCTCTCTCTTCTCCCACGGCGCCAGCATCTCCCAAGCCCGTGGACGTGAACAAACACAGAGTGAGGAAGAGACCCGCCGGTTTGGACAAACAGACTGGCTTCTTACTGGACAAGAAAGGATACAGGTACGACGTGATGGTGTCTGTGGACGTAAGTACAGGTTCTTAGCCTACTAATTATCAATGCAGAAAGAAGCATTGGTGAATATTGTAACAACAGGCAAGTTTGATGGAAAGAGAGGCAGAGGCAGACAGAAGGAAAAGATACTGGACAAGTTGACAACATAGCTGGGAACAGCAAGAACAACAGACACCATCGCTGCAACGCAAGACAGAGTGAAGTGGAGGTCCATGATCGCCCACGCCAGTCGGCAAGGCACCGGATGATGATGATAGACAGTGAAAATAAAATAGAAGCAACAGAAATGTGTTTTTAGGACACTGCTGAGAATATCTTGGAAAAAAAATAAATCTAATGAGGTTGTACTTGGTGAAGCCAACGTGGGACGTTCACCGTTGAAAACAATCAGGAAACGACAAATGCTGTTTTGGGGACACCTGAAAAGACATAAAGGTCTTGAACATCTAGCTCTCGCTTTCAAAATTGAAGACAAACGATGCAGTGGAAGACTCAGCGCAAGCTACTAACAGAACCTAAACAGATGAATGACATGAAAGATCAGGGTAATGTAGCTTTTTTAAAGCGAATCCGAGCAAAGGAATGAATGGAGAACCGTGATCGCGGATAACTGTAGCAGATGTGGCACTTGATAATGATGATGATGATGATGATGATGATGATGATGAGCTTATTAATTGCTGAAACACGCACTGGTGCAGTGTGGGATAGCCTTTGGATCGGTATCATACCTAGAATCTTATTCTCTTACCGACGCTCACCTCAATGACACCTTCCTTCTATCTGCACAGAGTGCCCTTCAAGGGGAAGATAACCAGGTGGTACTACATGGCGAAGAATGGCGGAGAGCTGGACTTTGTGGTGTTCCGGAGAAATGCACGGTGAGGAGAGAGAGAGAGAGAGAGAGAGAGAGAGAGAGAGAGAGAGAGAGAGAGAGAG